GGGGGGGGGGGAACGGGGCTCTTTCTAGCAGGAGGGTGGGAGAGCAAACCCCCCCTTCCCATCCCCAGCAGCTCCATCTGCTCCTCTTCTCCTCCTGGCACTGACCACACGAGCATTCTGCACTTTATTCCAGGCTCGAGGGAGGATGGTGACAGTTTTGGGACCAGCTGCTGGGGACTGTCACCTCTGTCACACCCCGTTGGCCAGCGGGTGGGTGGCGGTGGTGGGTTTTGAGGAGAGTTTTGTCCCTTTGCCATGGTGTCCAGCTCCTGTGGGCATCTCACCGAGGAAATCTTGATGGTTTTTTAAGCCAAGACCCCACCAGACTTTGGTGCAGCAGCTCCTGGGAAACAGGTTTGAGCCTGAGCTGGAAAACCAACGTCTCCACCTGTAGCTTTGATTCGAATTCCCAACCTCAGCGTCGATCCCACTCTCCTGCTTTTTGCTCCTACTTTTAATCTCCCGTGTTTTTCCGTCCTGTTTTTAAGTTTATGACTCAATTTCCCTCCTCCAACCTTGAGAGACACCAAACCTCGAGGAGAAAAACCTCAACCTCGAGGAGAAAAACCTCAACCTCGAGGAGAAAAACCTCAACCTCGAGGAGAAAAACCTCAACCTCGAGGAGAAAAACCTCAACCTCGAGGAGAAAAACCTCAACCTCGAGGAGAAAAACCTCAACCTCGAGGAGAAAAACCTCAACCTCGAGGAGAAAAACCTCAACCTCGAGGAGAAAAACCTCAACCTCGAGGAGAAAAACCTCAACCTCGAGGAGAAAAACCTCAACCTCGAGGAGAAAAACCTCAACCTCGAGGAGAAAAACCTCAACCTCGAGGAGAAAAACCTCAACCTCGAGGAGAAAAACCTCAACCTCGAGGAGAAAAACCTCAACCTCGAGGAGAAAAACCTCAACCTCGAGGAGAAAAACCTCAACCTCGAGGAGAAAAACCTCAACCTCGAGGAGAAAAACCTCAACCTCGAGGAGAAAAACCTCAACCTCGAGGAGAAAAACCTCAACCTCGAGGAGAAAAACCTCAACCTCGAGGAGAGCTGAGGGGAAAAGCGATCGGGCGCATCTGGACCTGCAGCCTAAACCAGAGGAGGTAGCCAGCAGGGACAGAACGGGGGGGTTTTGGGGGGCTTTGAGGGGTTTTTTTGGGGTGGTTTAAAGCAAAATGGACAGGAAAAAAACCACACAGAGACACATGGACCTCAGCAGAGAAACTCCAGGCTGGTCCCGCGGCTGGGGAGGAGTTTTGGGAGGGGAACAGCGCTCGTTGTAGGTTCTCAATCATC